TTGTAAATATTTATTTGCAATAAAATATGTTTAAATCAAATCAATAAATCAGAACATTCTGTTTTGATATTAAAATTATGAATTTTGAACTTATTACAAAGCGCATAATATGTCTTATTACCATGACCTGCAACATGCTTTTGAGTAACACTAAATTTACCGTTGCAATTAAAGAGCATGCCGAGATAACTTAACTGGTCGATCGAGACTTGGAGCTCTTTTGTGTCATAAAACCATTTCTCGTTGTTTCTAATCCCGCCACCATTCCTGCTAACTACTATTTTTGTCTTATCATTGTTCAAATTGAGTTTGTGCTTGTTATTACGGAAAGAAAAACTGGGGTTATTGACTTACTTTTTGAGATATTTGTCCTGTAATAAAAATCATCTAGAAAATTAGCCGACATGTTTGTTGCCAATATTTGTATTGTTATCCATTCTTGAAATTGGCCAAAACGATACAATTTGTACGACACAATCAAAATTAAATGTGTCCCACTCTGTGGTTTTATGGGAATTACGTTAAAAGAAACTTTTATCTTGAGCTGCTTATTGGTTAATCAATAAAATTAAAACATGTAATTGTATTGATATTATTCCACTGTATGCAAAATTACAAAGAAAAAACACAAAAAAAAACCAAAAAAAGAAATGAAAAACGACGTCAGGAAAAAAACGTAAGAAAAACGTAACGATTAAGACTTATGACACGTAAGAAGAATAAAATGAATTCTATCAAAAGTATATTAAACCAGCATTAGTCAGTTTATGATAAGAAGTTAACTGACAACATTTAAATATTTTTAATCGTTTCATGCACGTACGTCAGTATATTGACATTTTCTGATAAATAAAAATCACTTTTTCGATAAAATATCCAAAACATTGATTTGAACAATATTTTTTTCCATGTTAAAAGGTTAGTAGGTCAGGGATGTGTAGTGCACTACTCATCCCTGAGTAGGTACATTGTCACAAAAACTGTTTCCAAACTATGAATTACTTTCATTTTAATAAACACCATAAAAGAGGTCAGATCATGACAGACGAAAAAAGTATCGTTATATTTTTTTTATTTTTTTAATCGATACTAATTTCACTGCAAAATTAAGGTAAAAGAGCCGCAATGATGTTGATCACTGCGGTATTTTCTCTCTCGCACGTTAGGCTAAATTTCATACCTCCCGGCTAAAGACTAATATCGACCAATCGATGATGAGTATTTTCTTCAGTCCAGTACTGTATTTTCATATCACGTGACACACAGCAACCATGCAAAATGGAGGCCAGGGGCTGGGGCGAACTGCCCACTGCTCACATCTCCTGTCTCTTTCCAGAAGTATTGACAATTATTTTCAGCTATCTTGATGTGAAGGACAAGGGAAGAGTAGCGCAGGTTTGCACCGCATGGCGAGATGCAGCCTACAGTCGCAGGGTTTGGCGAGGAATCGATGCTAAACTGCACCTTCGTCGAGCGAATCCCTCTTTGTTTCCAAGTCTGGTGAAACGTGGTATAAAACGAGTACAGATTTTAAGTTTGCGACGTAGTTTATTACGTGATGTGATTTGTGGGATTCCAAACATTGAAACCTTGAATCTAAGTGGGTGTTTTACCTTAACAGATATTGGTCTTGGACACGCGTTTTCACAAGATTTGCCCGGCGTTACAGAGCTAAATCTAAGTCTGTGTAAACAAGTGACCGACAGTAGCCTGGGGCGAATCGCACAGAGTTTGAAAAACTTGGAACTGTTAGAGCTAGGTGGTTGTTGTAACATCACAAACACTGGCCTCCTCCTGATAGCATGGGGTCTGAGGAAGCTAAAATCCTTAAACCTGAGGAGCTGTCGACATGTTTCCGATGTTGGAATTGGGCATCTTGCAGGATTGAGTCCCCATGCAGCATCTGGGACACTAGAACTCGAACATCTGGGATTACAAGACTGTCAAAAACTCACTGACCAAGCCTTAAGGCATGTCAGTTCTGGCCTGTTGAATCTCAAGACTATTAACCTCAGTTTCTGTGCAAGTGTCACAGATTCTGGGTTGAAATTTCTTGCCAAAATGCCTAGTTTGAAGGAACTCAACCTGCGAAGCTGTGATAATGTGAGTGACACTGGTCTGGGGTATCTGTCGGAAGGTGCAGCAAGAATTGTAGCATTAGACGT